CTGAAAAAAAAAGGCCGAAATTGAAAAAAAACTTTCTTCTAACAGTTCTTTAAAAAATTCCAATTTTAAAAAAAAATTATTTCTTGTAAACTTTATTGTTTTGAATTTTATTTTTAGCAATTTTTTTTAAAATAATTTTTTTTAACTTTACTGTTGGGGGTTCTAGGGAAATATCAGGGGTCTAAACAGACACCTGATATTTATCTTTTTCTGCAGCCCGTTATAATGAACAGGTATCCTCTACACTGAGTGGCCAGATTATTATGACCACCTGACGTTTGTAGACAAATTAGCTATAATTTCGTGCTGAAGTTGCTAGAGGGCCAGACCATTATAAATAGGGAAGCAGGTTGTTTACCACGACAGTAGAAGTGATTTTTTTCTGAAGATATGGGTAAACAACGCGATTTAACAGCCTTTGAACGTGGGATGATTTTTGGCGCGCAAGCCATGGAGCGAGTATCAGCAAAATAGCAGAATTCGTTAAATGTTCAAGAGCAGCTGTTGTTAAAGTGTTTAAAGACTGGACTGTCAGATGAAAATCTGGGTCTGAACGTGCGAATTGTGGCCGTCGGCGACTAGTCAATGTTAGGGCAGAACGGAGAGTGGCAAGACTGGTGCAAGACAACAGAAGGGCAACAGTGCACTGTCAGATTCCTCACCTCACCTTTCAACACCTCGTGGAGTCACGAGGCGGCCCATCGAAGTCCTGATGGGGTGGTCATAATCTGGCCACTCAGTGTATACTCAGTGTTCCGTCAGGGGCGGACTGACCATACGGGCAGTAGGCCGCGGCCAAAAGAGGGCCCGTCACCGAACCCCCCCTGTCCTTTTCAGCCCACATAAAAGGAGACATGGCCTTCATGATTAATGCGCTTCACCCTCCCCCTCTGCCCAGGTGCAGGTGAATGGTGCCCTATCCCCTATCTTCCCGATCACCAACGGCACCCGCCAGGGTTGCCCCCTCTCGCCCCTTCTATTTGTACTCACTCTTGAACCTTTACTGCGCACGATCCAAGCGAATCCAGACATCCGAGGAATCTCAGCCGGATCCACGGCCCACAAGGTCGCCGCCTTTGCGGATGACCTTTTTTTCCTCACTTCCCCGGATATCTCTAATCCTGTCCTGCTACGGGAACTGAAAACATATGGTACCCTCACGAACTTCCGTATTAACTCCCAAAAATCAGAGCCCCCTTCATGTCTCACTCACGAGACCTGCCCTTGGCAGAGTTATCCATAACTTCCCATTTAAATGGACCCCTAACGCCATCAAATATCTCGGCATACTACTCCCAAAAGACCCGTCCCTTGCGTTATCATTGAACTTTCCACCACTACGGTCCCACATTAAGTCAGATTTAGAGGCCTGGACGAAAAGTACCTTCTCATGGATGGGGCGGTGCAATATCCTAAAACAGTCCATTCTACCTCGACTACTATACCCCATCCAAGCACTCCCGATCCACATACCCACATCCTTTTTCCGCAACATTTTAGGGAATTCGTCTGGGCCCGCAAACCACCTAGACTGAGTTATGACATGTTGCAGAGACCCAAGAGCATGGGATGTCCCTACCTGATGCACATCAATACGAATCGATGTCACAAGATTCAGAGCGGGCGGTGCGGGGAGGAGAGCTCGGCCTATTTTGACAGCCGACTCCTCCCCCACAACGCTCTCAATCCTCCCTCAGCACCGCTCTGCCTCCTCTGACAGTTTCTCTCCTCCCTGCTGGATGCGGGGAGGAGAGAAACCAGGCATGCACCGCAAATTCGGCCTGAAAGCTGGTACTCGGTATTTTGCCAAAAGTGCCATTTTCGGCCAATATGTTCGGTGCATCCCTAATACACTCATCTAGTAAAACCTGAAGAAAATGTTGTTAACAAAAGACCACGTGTAACAGCCCTGTAAATGTGAGAAACAGTAGCCTGATACTGAAAAGCCTAAGAGGCACTCACAGATTGAGTGGAGTGTTCCTCAACAAGAAAAGGGGGCACCTGATCCTTGAGACCATAAGATTAATATTCTGTCTGATCCAGCGAGAAATGGTGAAATGAGAAGCTGGTTCACCTCAAAGGGGACCATCAGGATTGACAAAGAAGGGAGTCGGACTTTGTGAAGGAACCAGGCAATGGACTGAATCCTTTTGATGAACTTGAGCCACACAGAGGGACAGAACTACGTCCTAGTTGAAATGAGAGGCCAAAACTACCTTGGCCCCCAACACCATCTAGTCCTTGTGTGAACCAGAAATTGTAATTTACAAGATAAAGCCGCCAGGTCAGATACTCACCTTGCACA